AACATCATCAATATTAAAGTAAACTAAAAATAAAAAAAATTATATTCATTGCACTTAAAATTATCTAATTTATATATTTAATTATAAAATCTTATTGCTCGCATGATATTCCATTTTTATAAATAATATAAAAAATATCATGGCATTGCTAACTTCTATAAACTTTCTTGATGCCCTACCACTTATCACAACTTTTTTAACTCTTCTTCACCGTGGATTTTAGAATTGTTATATGCTATGTCGGTCTTATTAATGGTCTCATATAGCAAGGTTTTATTTAGAGGTGTAAACAAGTCGAGTCGAACTTGGCTCATCAGCCGAATCCTAAACTTGAACTTGAGTCGAGCTCGAGCTCAAACTCATGGCACCAAAAACGAGCCTGCGAGTAGCTCACAAGCAGTTCTTGAAAATGAGCTCTCTGGAAAGCTTAATATGAAAAAGGTATTTCGCCGGAGAAGAAAGTTGGAAGGCATCTCGAGCTAAGTCGTGCTTGAGAAGGAGAGAACACTAGAGTCTATTTTTTATTATTTTTTGAAAAAACGATTTTTAAAAAAAAATTGCAGGTTGGGAAAATAAAATTAATATTTTAAATAATTTTCTCGTTTAAGTTGCATTTAATATGCTACAATATAACTATTAATTTTTTAAATATTCAAATTTAATAAAAATAAGAATTATCTAAAAAATAATAATAGTGATTCGAGCAGACTCACGAGGTCACGACCCGAGCCTCATTTAGCTCAAACTGTAGCTCATTTAATAAAATAGCTCGAGCTCATGACTAGATAAATTAGGCTCACGCTAACGAGTCAAGCTCAATCCAACTCGACTCACTTGCACTTTCATCAATGAATTTCTCAAGCAATATCTCATCATGAATTTTTCTTCACTTTTTCATTCTCGATCGACTAATTACGCACATCTTGGACCTTCATGCTTTTCTCTAACAAGATCAAATTAAGGCTTCGTTCACGATGATTTTTTTATTGCTTCATAAATCAGTTTTTTTAGTACAAAAATTAAAATTTTTATAATTAGAAAATTATTTTATGAAGCAATAAAAAAATTTGTCAAACGAAGCCTAAGACTTTCTTATATCATTATAGGAATTGGTATTGTTGCGTCCATGAGTATTTGCGGCGGTAGAGAAAAATGAAGCTTAACATCTTAGTGTTGTGTGAAAATTCGGCACGCAATCAGATAAGAGAGGGTGTAGCATTCATTAGATACACCAAAATTTTTACGTGGAAAACCCTTGGAAAGGGGAAAAAATCATGGGGCATAGCCTAGTTTGAATAAATCCACTAGTGTTGCAGTTGATTACAAATGTGGTCCTTCATTGAGGGAAGGCCTTAGATTTATATTCATTTTATAGAGTACATTACATGATGTGAATACAAAGAGTCATTGTTGACGTGTTCGTTTGGTCGAAAGGACTGTTCGTCGGTGGACGACGTAAGTCAGAAGAATCGTAGTTGGCGGGCGACGGAGGTCGGAAGACTGTAGTCGGTGAGCGACGTAAGTTAGAAGGACCATAGTCGGTGGGCGACATAAGTCCGAAGGACCGTAGTCGGCGGGTGACGGAGGTCGGAATGACTGTGTCAGGTAGAAGTCTTGAAATGAACAGAAATCCAGCATCAGATAGATATCCGGCAAAAACCCTACAACGGGCATGCATAAGTCTAGCATCGGGTAGAAATATGGCGACGAGCGGAGGTCTGTCGTTGGGTAGAAGTCCAAATTCAGTCGGCGGCCATGGAGAACTCTGGCATTAGATGGTATTTGGGCAAAACTCCAGAGTCACTTGGAGATCGGACAGAGTTCCGACATCATTTAGGCGTCGGGCAAAATTCTGACGTCACTTGGGCGTTGGGCAGAATTCTGGCATCACTTGGGCAGAATTCCGACGTCACTCGGGCATCGGGCGGAATTACGACATCACTCGAGTGTTAGGCGAAATTCCGGCGGTGGTCGAAGAGAAGTTTATTCCCTCCTATGCTTCTTCTCTTATTTTTCTTCTTATTTTTCTTGCTTGGGTCCCCTCTCATGAGAAATGAGGAGTCTATTTATAGATATTTTGGAGTGACATGGCTTGTAAATATGTGAGAGATCAGGGGTAAATAGGGAGTGGTCGAATGGACAACCAATATTGAATCCCTTGATCATGTACCATTCGTCAGATATTTCAAGGTCTTAATTATTTCGGAATTCGGCGATCTTGGGACGTTGGATTCGTCTCGTCGAGCCACTCGATTCGACTATAAGAATGTGATATTTTTATAACGTTTGGTAACTCAAATTATGGTTTGAACTTTCTAACAACACTTCGGGTGCTTGATTTGAACTCATTTGGGCTCGGATTGAGTCGAATTTGGTGTCGTTGGGTTCGTATTTCCTAGACGCTCAGTTTGACTGTTAGTTTGCTGAAATCGGAGTTCAGGTGATTTCTGATTTAATTTTTGGAGTTTTCGGCTCGATTTTGTCTCGAGATTCGTGCCTGATCAAGATGATTTTTTGAGGATATATCAATATATTAATTAAATAATAAAATTTAGATACTAAATTTATAAATTAGATAATTTTAAATGTTATATACCTCAATGCACTAAAAAGATCTGAAAAGCAAAAGCACTCCCACTCACCTCCTCCCCACTCACATAAAACCATCACCCTCATCATACTAAAGAGTGTAAACACAGAAAAAAAAAAAAGAAAAGGAAGAAAAATACAGAGAGATGTACAGGTTCAGCAACTCGGTCATCGGGTACCTTAACCTCCTAACCCTCCTATCTTCCATCCCCATCATCGCCGGAGCTCTCTGGCTGGCGAGGAGCTCCGCCACCTGTGAATCCGCCCTCGAGACTACTCTCCTCGCCGTTGGCTTTATTATTCTCCTCGTCTCCCTCGCCGGGTTCATTTCTATAGATTTTGGGAACCGACCTATGGAATAATTGTTCGTACCGGACGAACCTAGTTCATACGGGATGATATGTGTGTACGAAGTCATTTCGTACTCATATACATTAGGTTCGTTTCCAACACACTTAAGTAAAATTGTTTAGGACGATCCACGATCGTACGGGACGATCCAACTCTTATTGACTTGAAAATTTACAGTTTTTGGACGGTTTTTTATGTCTTTCCTATATATAGTCCAAACTAAACTGCCACATAATCTTTTTGCCCATTGATCTTCGTGCCTATTGAAAGAAGAGTCAAGGAGAGAGTGTAAGAGAGTCTTTACTCTTAGTTTGAATTTACTTCACTCTTTTCTTTCTTCTTTCAAGAATTCTTATGAGAAGATCTATCAAGGAGATCCGGTTCTCAGCCGACACTTGGAGAGTGTGAACAGCCGAAGGGTTCTCTGCCCACACTTGGAGAGTGTGAACAGCCGAAGTGTTGTCTGCCCACACTTGGAGAGTATGAACAGCCGAAGGGTTCTCTACCTACACCGCGAGAGTGTAAAAGGACGACGGTTCTATGCCATCAATGGGGATAGTGTAAAAGGACGACGGTTCTCTACCGTACTGGGAAGTAGTGGAAAGAGTGTTTATAAAGGCTTCTCCGCCCTTGTTGTGGGTGCAAAAGGAGAATCACTATTGGTATTAGTGCAATACTCGCATGGTGCCTCCGGGGAGTGGATGTAGGTCTGGTTTTGACCGAACCACTATAAACCTCGTGTTTTTATTTTATGCTGCCTTTTTATTTTAAGCAACTGTAGTTGAAAAATCTATTTTTAAAAACTCACTAAAGTTTATTTTTCGGTTTAAGAATAAAAAAGAGGGATTAATTTTTAATTACCAATTCACCCCCCCCCTCTTGGTTATCAGTGGGACATACGCTTAGGTTTAACAACCTAATTCATAGTGAACGAGTTTCAACAGGACCATAATCGGTGGGCGACATAAGTCAGAAGGATCGTAGTCGGCGGGCGACAGAGGTCGGAAGGACTGTGTCAGGTAGAAGTTCAGAAATGAACAGAAATCCAGCATCGGATAGATGTCCGGCGAAAACCCTACAACGGGCATGCATAAGTCTAGCATCGGGTAGAAATATGGCGACGAGCGGAGGTCTGTTGTTGGGTAGAAGTCCAAATTCAGTTGGCGGCCAGGGAGAACTCTGACATTAGATGGTATTCGGGCAAAACTCCAGAGTCACTTGGAGATCGGACAGAGTTCCGACTTCACTTAGGCGTCGGCAGAATTCTGACGTCACTTGGGCGTTGGGCAGAATTCTGGCATCACTTGGGCAGATTTTCGACGTCACTTAGGCATCGGGCAGAATTACGAAATCACTCGAGTGTCAGGCCGAATTCCGGCGGTGGTCGAGGAGGAGTTTCTTCCCTCCTATCCTCCTCCTCTTATTCTTCTTCTTCTTCTTCTTCTTCTTCTTGCTTGGGTCCCCTCTCATGAGAAATGAGGGGTCTATTTATAGATATTTTGGAGTGACATGGCTTGTAAATATGTGAGAGATAAGGGGTAAATAGGGAGTGGTCGGATGGACGACCGATATTGAATCCCTTGATCATGTACCGTTTGTCAGACATTTGAAGGTCTTAATTCTTTCGGAATTTGGTAATCTTGGGTTCGTTTGATTCGTCTCGTCGAGCCGCTCGATTAGACTATAAGAACGTGATATTTTTAAACCGTTTGGTAACTCAAATTATGGTTTGAACTTTCCAACAGCCCTTCGGGTGCTTGATTTGGACTCATTTGGGCTCGGATTGAGTCGAATTTTGTGTCGTTGAGTTTGTATTTTCGAGACGCTCAGTTTGACTATAAGTTTGCTGAAATCGGAGTTCAGGTGATTTCTGATTTAATTTTTGAAATTTCCAGCTCAATTTTCCCTCAAGATTCGTGCCTGATTAAGATAATTTTTTGAGGATATATCAGATATATTAATTAAATAATAAAATTTAGATACTAATTTTATAAATTAGATAATTTTAAATGTTATATACCTCAATGAACTAAAAAGATCTGAAAAGCAAAAGCACTCCCACTCACCTCCTCCCCACTCCTCACATAAAACCATCAGCCTCATCATACTAAAGAGTGTAAACACACAAAAAAAAAAAGAAAAGGAAGAAAAATACAGAGAGATGTACAGGTTCAGCAACTCGGTCATCGGGTACCTTAACCTCCTAACCCTCCTATCTTCCATCCCCATCATCGCCGGAGCTCTCTGGCTGGCGAGGAGCTCCGCCACCTGTGAATCCGCCCTCGAGACTACTCTCCTCGCCGTTGGCTTTATTATTCTCCTCGTCTCCCTCGCCGGGTTCATCGGCGCTTGCTTCAACGTGGCTTGGGCTCTCTGGCTTTACCTCTTCGCCATGTTTCTCCTTATCTTTGCTCTTCTCTGCATCACCTGCTTCGGCTTCGCAGTCACCGGAGGTGGCGGCGGCGTCCAGGTTTCAGGGCGGATGTACAGTGAGTATCACCTCGGCGATTATTCGGCCTGGCTTCGCAGCCGAATCACCGAGGAGAGGTATTGGCGAGCCGCCGTTTCATGCGTTGTGGGGTCCAATGCTTGCGCGGAAATCGTGAGGTGGACCCCGCTTGATTATATGCAGCGCGATCTGACGCCTATCCAGGTACGCTGCACCGCTGGACCACGTTACTTTACTATCTGTATAATTTGTTCGAATTTATATTATATGCTTTTCTAGTTAATTTAATAATTGGTGACCCATTTCTATCAAAAGTGATCAAATTTATTTAAAATTTGTTTTAAAGCTATGAAATTTATCTTAACATAGAAATAATATAAATTTCAATTAAATTTTCATTTATTATACTTTATTTTAAATTGCAATGATAATATATACCCATTTTTTTTCCTAAGAGTTTGCTTCCATGCTAAGCAATTTTTTTACCTTTTTATGTGTGAATATATTCCCCTTTGTTAAGATGCTTCTATTTTTTAAATATATTTTCGTGTTATTTGTTAAAAAACATGTTTTCATTTGTATTGAAGTGCATATTTATGTTATATATATAATTTCATGAATGTATGAAGTAAATTGTAAAGTAATTCATAAATTTACATAAAAATTATAATTTTATTTTATATAACATGACAAAATAAGCATTTTGATGTTCGATACTAAGGGTCTAAGCAAGTCATGTTGAACTCGAGTGACACTGAACTCAAGCTCAAATCATCTAATGAATAATGGTCTCGAGCTTGAGCTCAAACTCGAGTCAAATATAACTCGAGCTAGCTCAGCTCACTAACACCACTATTAGGTACTGATATTAAATTTTCACTTTTTGTGTTTTTTTTTATGATGAAAATATGAGTAATTATTTAAATTTTATTAACATAAAATTTTATTTTTAAAAGGAGGCATGGATAAATGATAAATTTTATAAATACAACAGCATTATATGTAAGATGCATGTATTATATTTTACAAATAAAAAGTTAACTATTTTCTTAATTTATAAAGCTATATAAAAATATATATTTTTAAATACTATATAAGAATGTAATCGAAGAATTTATTCCCCGCATTGTTTAACAACTTTTTTTTATGCACCAACAGCCACTTATGGACAATGTCTTTCTTTTATCAGAAGAGAGCATGTTAGGTTATTTTACCTTCGTCTAAGCTTTTACTTTTTTTTTTTCTTGGACCTTTCTAAAATTAAGAGCTTTTTTTTATCTTTGATTATTTTAAATCGATAAATTTATATTTAATTTTTAAATAATGTGTTTGATATTTTGTCATCTGCACATTAAAAATGAAAGATAGTTAAAATTAATATTAATTCAGTTATGTATCTTTTAAATTAAATACTTGTACTAATGTTAGCACTTTATCGGTAGGTAGATAGAGCAGTTTAAGATCAAAATTTTTTATGGTACAATATTAATTATTTTAGAATAACTTTTTTTTTTATTAATTAAATTTTTTGTAATACTTATTTATATATTAAAAGTATATCACTATTAAAAAAGGAAATATTTGCAATAGTTAAATCATTTAAAAATTTCAAGATGATCTTTTAAATGCTAAATTATTTTTACCTATTGATTATAGTGCAACAAAATGTACAACAACAACATCAAACCTTTGTCCAACTACGTGGGGTCGGCTACATGAATTTTTTTTGTCATTGTGTCCTATTAAAAGTCAAATTCTCATTCAAATCTAATAAAAAAAAAATCATTTCTATTATTTTATAACAAAGTCTTTTTAGGTATGCCTCTACATTTCTTAGCATAAGTCAAATCTAATGCCTCAACTTTCCTAACCGGGTCATCGGAAGCCTCCGTTTAATGTGACCAAACCATGTAAGGCAACTCTCTCTAATCTTATCTTCTAGTGCTGGAGCTACTCCAACCTTTTCATGTATATGCTCATTTTGTATCCTATCTTTAAGGGTAAAGTCACTCATTCACCTAAGCATCCTCATCTCTACAACACTTAACTTATTATGCTTCTCTTTTAATGACATGCATTCGACACAATAAAGAATTGCAAGTCTCACCACATCTTATAGAATTTTCTCTTAAGTTTGAGGGGGCATTTTCTACCACACAACAAGCCCGATGCATTCCTCCACTTCAACCATCCAACTTGAATTCTATTAATAATATCCCCATCTATTTCGCCATCACTCTGAAATATATGAGCTTAAGGCTGATCCTTGATGTAATCCAACTGAAATAGGAAAATACTTGGTCGAACCACCTTGTGTTTGAGAAAAAGTAATAGCTCCTGCATACATATCTTTAATGATTTGAATATAAGCATTATTAACTCCTTTCTTTTCAATAACTCTCTATAGTACTTCTCTTGAAACTTTATCATATGCTTTCTCTAAATAAATAAATATATGTAGATCTGCCTTCTTCTCTCTAATTTTCTCCATTAAACCTCTCAATAAATGTATGACTTCCATAGTATACCTACTCGGCATATATCCAAATTGATCTTGAGAAACATTAGTATCACGCCGCAACCTATGCTCCATAACTCGCTCCCATAGTTTTAAAGTATAACACATTAATTTAATTCCTCTATAATTCGCACACTCATATGCATCACCTTTATTCTTAAAAATAGGAATTAACACACTCATTCTAACTTAATTTCTCTATATTAGACAGTGGTCAGAAAGATCGTTGTCTAGCGATGGAGGTCGGAAAGACCATAGTCGGTGAGAGATAGTGGTTAAAAAGACTATTGTCTGGCAAGGGAGGCTGAAAGGACCGTAATCGGTGGAAGATATTAGTCATAAAGATTGTTGTCTGGCGATGGATGTCAGAAGGACCATAGTTGGCAGGAGAAAGGGGTTAGAAAAACCTTTGTCTGATGATGGAGGTCAGAAGGACCATAGTCGACAGGATATAGGGGTTAAAAATATCGTTATCTGGTAGTGGAGGTTGAAAGGACTGTAGTAGGCGACGAAGGTCAGAAGGACCGTAGTCGGCAGGAGACAGGGGTCAGAAAGACCGTAGTCATAAGGCGGTGGTCCAGCAAAAGTCCGGGTATTATTCAGTAGTCTGGCAGAACTCCGACTTCTATTAGTGGTCCAACAAAAGTTCGAGCCTTAGTCGGTGGTCCGGCAGAACTCCAGCGTCAAGCGGTGGTCCTGATGAAAGTTCAGCGTCATGCAGTGGTCCGGCAGAAGTCCGTCATCAGATGGTGGTCCTGATGGAAGTCCAGGGTCAGGCGGAGGTTCGGCGAAACTTGCATTAGGTGGTGGTCTGGCAAAACTCTGGCGTGGGGTGGTGGTCTGGCAAAACTCCTGCGTCAGGCGGTGGTCTGGCAGAACTATGGCGACAAGCGGTGGTCCGGCGGAACTCCGACGTTACACGATGGTCTGGTGGAATTCCGACATCAAGCAGTGGTCCTGCGGAAGTGTGGAGTTGAGTGGTTGTCCTGACCAAAGTCCGGCGTCAGGTAGTAGTTCAACGGAAGTTTAGAGTCAGACGGTGATCCTAATAAAAATCCAGTGTCAAGTGGCAGTCCGGCGGAAGTCCGGTGTTAGGTGATGGTCCTGATGGAAGTTCAGCATCAGGCAGTAGTCCGATGGAACTCCGGCATCGAGTGATGGTCCGGTAGAATTTTGGCGTTAGGCAGTGGTCGAGGAGGAGTGAGGAGGCAAGAGCGATCTCAAATTTCTCTCTTGATTACTTGCTTGGGGGTACCCTTTAATGAGAAAGAAGGCACTATTTATAGATTTTTTAGAGTGACATTACTTGTAAATAGATGGAAGATCAGGGGTAAGTTGGACTGGTTTGGATGGACGACCGATGTTGATTCCCTTGATCGTAGACCGTTTACTAGATATTTGAATTTCTTAGTGATTTCAGAATTCAGTGATATTGGGTTTGTTGGATTCGCCTCATCGAGTCACTCCATTCGACTGTATGCTTGTTGGAAACCGTTTGTTAATCCAAATTGTGGTTTGAACCTTCCAACAACGCTTTGAGTCCTTGATTTGAACTCATTTGGGCTCATATTGAGTCGATTTTGGTGTCGATAGGTTTGTAATTCCGAGATGCTCAGTTTGACTGTAAATTTGCTGAAATCAAAGTTCGGATGGTGCCAATTTTAATTTTGGAAGTTTCCAACTTAATTTTTCCTTGAGATTCGTATCCAATCAAGATGATTTTTTGATGATGTATCAAGCATCATTTAAATGATTTAATAAATCTCTTTTTATTTGGAATGAAATATTGAATCCATTTTAATACCTTATAAATGGCTTTATAATTAATGTAATCTAAATTTTATGCATTCCTTTTCGGTTGTGTTTATAACATATAAAGTAGTACATCTCCAAGGGGAACGGGATCTTTAACAAATTGATTTTGTAAGAAGATCATTAGTCTCAATTTGACAAAGATCTAAATATTCTTTATTCATTTATGAAGGCCTGCATTTGTAGTGCCTTTGTAGGGATAAATTTTTCATCAAAATCATAAATATATAATGATGTGACATCATGTATTTTTTTAAGCATTCTAAGAATTTGATATTTTTTATCATCAGTAAGGGTGTATAGACCCAACATTTCCCTAATGGATTTGTAGTTGTTATTCTTATTACAACAACTACAACATGATTTGTTCTCTTTGTCTGAGTCAAAATTAGAAGTGATATAATTAGGTTCAAAGGTCAATAGAATCTTCATAAAATTTTTCTTTAACTCTTCATCTAGGTTTAACTCATTGAGTTTCTTCCTAGCGGTGCATTGAATGAAATAATGACCATGTTTGCCACATCAACATATTTATATGTTTTTTTTCTTTTGTCACTATCTCTATGTTTCTTACTATCATTTATTTGATGATAATTCAAGGTCCTCTTATAATATCTACAATCTTTAGTTGATTTTTATTTACAATTTTTTTTGGTATTTTCCTCGAAATAGAGAGCAAATTACAAACAAATTGTTCACAGAAAGCTGCTAGCTGCTCTCATTTGAAGATTTTCTCTTTCTTAATTTGTTGTTTCATTTGATATCAACACAAAGATCGAAACTAGTTTAGTCAATAAACCAATTTAATATACTTAAGGTCATTCATCACAAATAATAAGGACTAACTCTTTATCAAACAATACCTATGAAGAAC